TCATAGTTTAGACCTCCTTAACTTGGCATTGAATTGCTGTTCCTGTAGTCTTTTGTCAAAGGTAGTCCCACAGACAGAGAAATGTTTCAGTCAGATTAATCTGAGGGTGCAAGGTAAATGGAGAGCACCCAAGGTTAGGAAAAGCAACCCAATCAAAAATGGAGGAAGCCAGTATGTGCCAGGCACTGAGAGTATTTCATTTAATCCTAGCAATGTATGACCTACTACTAACAAGCCTAACAATTCAGCTACAACACATTTTCAAAGACAAGAAAACCACAGCCCAGAAACAAAAAGCTGATTGGTGGAAGATTATACTCACGGTTAGGGACCTGGGAGGCTAACTTGCTGGGAGATCAGAAGAGAGAAAAACCTAGGGTCCTTGTAAATTCAAATGTAGGAGAAATGACTGATGCAGAATCCATGCAGTTAGGCATGTAGAAAAGTGAAAGTTTAGACATGAAGAAAAATGCAGCAATCTAAAGGACAGTTACAAAGCAGGCTAAGGAACAAATTCTATTAAGAAAGAGAAAGCGGCCATGCTTGCGCCCACGGACTGTCTGACTGACCATCAGCTGGGCTGCCACCAGGTTTTCTGGTGCAGGCATCAAGGGGCTGTCGGCCAGGGCCTTGCAGCCACAGTGGATCCAAGTTTGAAAATACGGCAATTTTGAAAGATATTACCAGGCGACTAAAGTCCATCAAAAACATCCAGAAAATTTCCAAGTCTATGAAAATGGTAGCAGCAGCAAAATATGCCTGGGCTGAGCGGGAGCTAAAACCAGCTCGGGTATATGGAACAGGAGCTTTAGTGCTCTATGAAAAAGCTGACATAAAGGGGCCGGAAGACAAGAAGAAACACCTCCTTATTGGTGTGTCCTCAGATCGAGGGCTGTGTGGTGATAATCATTCCTCAATTGCTAAACAGATGAAAAGCGAGGTGACCATGCTCACAGCAGCTGGAAAATAAGTTATGCTTGCTGGGATTGGTGATAAAATCAGGGGCATACTTTAGAGGACTCATTCCGATCAGTTCCTGGCAGCATTCAAGGAAGTAGGAAGAAAGCCCTCCACTTTTGGAGATGTGTTGGTTATTGCCCTTGAGTTGCTAAATTCTGGATATGAGTTTGATGAAGGTTCTATCATCTTTAATTGATTTAGGGCTGTCATCTCCTATAAGACAGAAGAAAAGCCCATCTTTTTCCTTAACACCATTGCAGGTGCTGAGAGTATGAGTATCTACGATATTGATGCTGATGTGTTACAAAATTACAAAGAATACAATCTGGTCAACATCATCTACTACTCTTTGAAGGAGTCCACCACCAGTGAGCAGAGTGCTAGGATGACGGCCATGAACAATGCCAGCATGAATACCTCCGAAATGATCAACAAATTGACTTTGACCTTTAACCGCACCTGCCAGGCCATCATCATAAAAGAGTTAATTGAGATCATCTCTGGTGCTGTAGCTCTGGATTAATGAAAATCAAGGTCCATCCTCAGACAAGAGGTAAAAAGAGAAAATTCAGTCAGCTGATTTTGTTTTTAGCTTACTGCTGTCTTCGTCAAAGAAATTGTTGCTCCATCTTGTTTGAATTACTGAAGACAGCAAGATATTTGTAAATTATCTTACAATAAACAACTTAAAGCCAAAAGAAAAAAAAAGAAAGTGGATCATCTAGATGTTAAAGAGATTGTGTTCAAAGAAGGAACCCTAAAATTTCAGAAATGGACCAGTTTTAAAGTGAAAATGTCTCACCATCCCCTAGTGGGCAGGGAAACCTGAACATGGATCTAGATTCCCAGAGTTCCTAAGGAAACAGAAGAATAGTTAACTCAGGGTAGCACGTTGAAAAGCCTAACTATGAAGGGTCACAAGATAAAGAGGTAAAACACGATTCTGATGTTGAAGTCTAAGGTTAAAAAGAAAAAAAAATCTAAAGAACCCAGAGGCTAAATGATGGTAGAGAAGATGGCAATATAGAGAGATGACAGTTTTACCCAAGAAGAAATTTTGAGTATTTGTAATGAAACCAGTGTCACCTGAAAACACAAAGAACGAAGAAAAACACTATTTTTTTTTTTTTAATTTTAGTCTTACTCTGTCACCCAGGCAGGAGTGCAGTGGCATGCTGCTCACGGCCACCGCAGTCTCAACCTGCTGGACTCAGGCGATCCTTCCACCTCAGCCTTCCAAGCAGCTGAAACAACTGGCACGCACCACCACACCCAGCTAATTTTTGTGATTTATTGTAGAGACGAGGTCTCACCAAGTTGCCCAGGCTGGTCTCAAACCCCCAGGTTCAGGCAATCCTCTCACCTCTGCTTCCCAAAGTGCTGGGATTACAGGCTGAGCCATCACGCCTGGCCCATTTTTTTTTTTCAGACAGTTTCACTCTTTTGCCCAGGCTTGTTGCAGTGGCTCACTGCAGCTTTGAATTCCTGGGCTCAAGCAATCGTCCCCCCTTAGCCTCCTGAGTAGCTGGGACTACAGGTGTATACCACTGTGCCTAGCTAATTTTTATTTTTTTAGTTTCTTTGTAGAGACAGGGTCTTGATGTGTTGCACAGGTTGGTTTCAAACTCCTGACCTCAAGTAATCCTCTCACTTCAACCTCTCAAAGTACTGGGATTAAAGGTACCTGGCTCATTATCTTTTTTAAAGGCAGTATATTATTTTTTTCAAGAACTGAAGATGATGGCCATTATCTCTAACTTTCAAGATATCTTTCTCACCCAGCAGTGGGAAGACTCAGGTGCGGTAGAAGTCCACCATAGACAGGCACAGATTTTTCAGTCTCATAAATGGGGCTTCTGGCCAGGCACGTGGGTCATGCCTGTAATGCCAGCACTTTGGAGTAGGAGGCATGTCTGAGTCCAAGAGTTTGTGACCAGCCTGGGAAACTTGGTGAGACTTCCTCTCTACAATACTTCAAAAAATTAGCCAGGGGTGGTGGTGTGTGCCTATAGTTCCAGTTAGTTGGAAGGTTGAGGTCGAAGGATTGCCTGAGCTGAGTGGGCCAAGGCTAAGGTGGCCATGAGTATGCCACTGTACTCCAGCCTGAGCAACGAAGTTAGACTCCTACTCAAAAACTAAATAAATAAGTGAATAAATTAATTAAATTAAAAATAAATGTGGTTACATGTGTGATCCAGCCTGGGCAATACAGTGAGACTCCTACTCAATAAATAAATAAATATATACATACATACATACATAAAAGAGTTCCATGTGTGATACAACCTGGACAACAGAGTGAGACTCCTACTTAATAAATAAATAAATAAATAAATAAATAAACAAATAAAATGAAACAAAAAATACATAAAGTTTCATGTGTGATCTCCAAAACCACTTGTGATAGAAAATAAATGGCAAAATCCAACTTACATATACTTAATAAAAATTTAATAGGTAATTCTATGTACTAGTCACTAAAGTTAAACTTTTCTTTTCTTTTTTGAGTTGGAGTCTCACTCTGTCATCTAGGATAGAGTGCAGTGGCATGCTCACGGCCACCACAGCCTCGACCTGCTGGGTTCAGGTGATTCTTCCACCTCAGCCTTCCAAGTAGCTGGAACTACTGGCATGCGCCACCATGTCAGCCTAATTTTTTGATTTATTGTAGAGATGAAGTTTCATCGAGTTACCCAGGCTAGTCTTGAACCCATAGGTTCAGGCAGTCCTCTTATCTCAGCTCCCAAAGTGCTGGGATTACAGGTGTGAGTCACTGCACCTGGCCAAGTTAAATTTTTATTTTCATCTACTTTCAATAACTTGTAGAGTTATGCATGACTTTGAAGATAAGATTTTTCAGATAGCCAGGCTCGGTGGCTCAGCCTGTAATCCCATGCCTTAGGGAGGCTGAGGCGAGTGGATTGCCTGAGCCGGCGGGTTCGAGACCCATCTGGGCAACTTGGCGAGACCTCATCTCTACAATAAATCAAAAAAAAATTAGCCAGCGTGGTACCACTGGACTGTAGTTCTAGCTACTTGAAAGGCTGAGACGGAAGGATTGCCGGAACCCAACAGGTTGAGGCTGCAGTGGCCGGGAATGTGCCACTGCCCTCCAGTCTGGGCGACAGAGTGAGACGCCAACTCAAAAAAAAAGATTATTTCAGATGAGTTTTTCTAGACAAAACCAGATTGTAAGAATGCAACTCCCAATTTATTCTTTTGTTTTCTTTATATACAACACACACACACACTACTAAGGTCAAAACAAATTTCTAAAACAGAACCCCTGATAACAAACGGGCAGTTGAAGGTAAAAAGGCAGAGCAAGACCAAGTATACTATTCACACAAATTTTCACTTCAGGATGAAATGGAAAATTACACTTGGCTTTGTTTCATTTTTTCCAGTTTTCATGAGGGTACTTAAACATACATGTCTCCTAAATCAAATCTTTACTTTTTATTGGGTTAAAGTTTGATTTTACAATTCTACTTAACTCATCCACACTTTTTAGAAAATAAATCATTCAATGAATTTTTTTTAAAATCCTGCCAATTTATAGACAGACTTATCTATTTTAATAAATAAGGGAGTATTACATTTTAATAGTAGTTAGTAACATCTGCAAAACCAAATTCAAAAAAGCAGCTTAAAGTGCAAAGAATAATTTGGGAAGAAAGGAATTTTCTTGTGGGTCACTGGTTTGCTTTGTAAGCTTTAGCTTACAAAACCAATATAACTGATGACAATTCCTCCAAGAAGGTTGAATTTTTTAAAAATGTATTAAATATCTCATGGATATTAAATGGTTTCAAATATCAAGAATCACTTAACCAGAAATATGGAATTCATAGCATTGACATTAAAACATTAGCAGAAAATTTTTAACACAATTTTAACATTGTTTTTCCTGTAGGTAACTAAACTGAGTGATGGATGAAGTATTTTGTCAAAGGAAAAAAATATCAAGAGGCATGCCACAGATGTCAATGGTGGAACAAGAAAGGGAAGTCCTAATGTTTCATTTGTTCCAGCATTACCTGCCATGAACAGTAGTAGATTTGATAACATCTCCAGGTAGAACCACCGAGAGTTCAACGTCTCTGTCTGTCATGTTTTCTTTCTGTTCCATGATGAAAGTAGTGGATTCTACAGAATCAGCAACTGAAGCAACAGCAGCGCATCTGATCTCAGCTGGAGGAAGTGGTGCCTTGGCTTTTGGCTTTCTCCTAAAATGGAAATAAAACAGAAAATAAAATATATTTTATTTTAAAAATAATTTTCTAATATGATCTAATCTTATAAACTCCCAAATATATACATATAGCTGTTTTTCACATCTAGGAAAAAAATCACCAGAATGTTAACTGTTAATGTTGGAGAGTGGAATTGGAATGTTTTTGTCCTTTTCCAATTATCGTTTTGCTTTGCTTTGAGTACTACGCCTACGTTCTTTGGTAATCACAAGAAACACGATAATCTGACATCTGCCTCCATCACATTCAATGCATGTGCTTGCTATAGCAAATCAAGAGGACAATTTTATTTGACTGGATACACTATAAAAATCCCTAAGGTCTCAGGATGAGGTTCAGTATCTCCCTCTCACGTCACAATGGCTCTTACCTCTGAAGCCTTCATTCTATTTCTCTCAAGTGTGTTTCGCCTCTCAATTCAGGTAAGCTCTACTTTATCCTTCAGCGTCTAGCTAAATTTACCCCCCTGGATCTAACATCCCATACACACAGAATTCCTTCCTTAGAATTGATAGAGTATGCACAACTGATTTTATAAATGCAACATTGTCTATTTTTGCCCCTGGATACCAGTTTCATTTCTCTGCCTACATTTATAAATCCCTGCAAGAAAAAAGCAGGCTAGCTGGGCACAATGGCACATGCCTGTAACCCCGGCTACATGGGTAGCTGAGGTAGGAAGATCACTTGAGCCCAGGAGTTCAAGTCCAACCTGGGCAACATAGCAGGACTCTGCCTTGAAAGAAGCATGGTGTAGATGGCTGTATTTGCCACTACACACAGAGGGCTGTATTTCCTACTGTACCTAGAAATGAACAATGAGTTATAATAGGTTATTTAACAAATAACACATTTGCTTCAGTTAAAAATGCTATAAATAATCATTCTAATAAAAATATTTTTGGTGTCACTAAGGCACCCCTTAACTAATTTATAACAGAAATTGTAGGCATTCTGAACAAACTTATATGAGCCATTTCAATGATTTGATGGGTTAAATGTGAAAATAAAGTCATTATAGGTAATGTTAAAATAAAGTAAGTATAGATAATATCATATTTATGTTTTTACTTAAAATAATATAAACTAAAGTTTTTGAAAGTGTTACCTTTATGAAAAGTTAATTGCTTTTGGAAGAATGAATATAACTCCTTTCTACTCAAAAAATATAATTTCAATTCCTCTCTATCCTTATTTCCTAGGCAAAAAAAAAAAAAGATAAAAGGACTTCTTTATAAGTAAATATGTAACATCCACCTATTCAGCATTTTCAAAGTTTAAGGTATCACAAATCCAAGCATCTTTATGCACCTGTCATCAAGACAGAAGAAAAGTTCCTGTGTTATATACTGATTTACAAAAATTACAAGCCCTTGATTTTTACTAGTATAATTACAAAGGTATATCATACTTTAGAAAAGATTTATTTTATAATAGCAACAAAAATACATTTTTAAACTGTTACAAAGAATGTAACAAGAAGTTTATAAAAATCTATATGCAGAAAAATGTGACCCAACTTCAAATTTTAGAGTTTTTTGTTATGTTGCTTTTTTTGAGTCAGAGTCTTACTCTGTCACCCAGGCTGGAGTATAATGGCATGCTCACGGCCACTGCAGCCTTGACCTGCTGGGCTCAGGTGATCTTTCCACCTCAGTCTTCCATGTGGCTGGAACTAAAGGCATGTGCCACCACGCCCAGCTAATTTTTTGATTTATTGTAGAGATGAGGTCTCGCCATGTTGCCCAGGCTGGTCTTGAATCCCTGGACTCAGGCAATCCTCTCACCTCAGTCTCCCAAAGTGCTGGGATTACAGGTGTGAGCCTGGTCTCAAATTTTAGTTTTTAAATCTGTAGAAATTGGTCACTGTATAAACCATTTATTCTGTAACAATTATTATAGCAGTTTTAGCTAAACACTGGGGATGTAAAGATGAATAAGACTCAGTTTCTATCCCTGAAGGGTTCATAGCCATAAAGAATTGACAGACATATACAAAATTATCATAAAGTTTGGAGATTGCTCTAATAAAGATGTGCACACAGCAACATGTGAAGCTCACAGAAAGAGAACCCAACTGTCCTAGGAATCCAGAAGTGTCTTACAGATAGAAACACGAGCTGGGTTTGGGAAGAATGAATAGAAACTCACCAGAAAAGATATGAGATCATAGATATTTCAAGAAGAAAAGAGCCATAAGAGAAAATGGTACTTCTTAGAATCAAACAGTTAGGTAAAATTCCACAGAGAAGTCAAAGGAGATGAGAAATCAAGTGAATCAACTGAAAACTTTTACAATGAAGAGAATTCAGTAAGGTGGATTTGTACAAAGTTCACATGCTAAAGTCAATAGCCTATGTAAACATCAGCAAAAACTAGTCAGAAGGTAAAAGTTACTTTTATGGTAACAGTTACTTTTATAATAGCAACAAAAAATGAACTTGAAAAGACTAAGTATTACTGTCTCAGCAAATCACATTTCTTTCAGTTGACCAAGCCAAAAATCCACTTTGTCACATACATACAGCCAATTCATGTACAAATTCTGACAGCTTTATATCATAAGTAGATCCAGAATCCACCCACAATCTTGGTCACCAAACACTGTGGTTCAAGCTGCAGACTAGTCTCTCTGCTCTCAACCTTGTAACTTCGGAATCTAGTCTCAATGTAACAACCTGAGTGACATTTTTAAAATGTAAGTCAGATAGTCAGATCACTGCTCCACCCTCTCATAGCCTCCAATAGTTTCCTACCTCATCCAGAATAAGACTTAGAGTCCTATACAGACTTTCATCCATTTATGATGGGCAATGTCCCAATAATATGTCCTAAATTTAAAATATCATAAGTTGAAAGTGCATTTACTATCCAAATAAACCCATCACAGAGTCAAAAAAAATCTTAATTAGAACCATCACAAATTAAAATGTTCCCCAATTTATGAGGGGGTTACATTTCAATAAGCCCATGATGAAGTTTAAAAATCATAAATCAAACCATCATAAATCAGGAACTGTCTATAATCTGTCCTTTTGCCTCCAGCTTTCCCAGTTTCTCTACCACTTTCTCCCTAGGCTCATAGCACTCATCCTGTGAATCTTGCCCTTTCCTTGAACTCAAGAAAAGATCCTCTACAGCATTTGCTCCTGATCTTAAGATATATTTCCCAGCCGGGCTCGGTGGCTCAGCCTGTAATCCCACGCCTTTGGGAGGCTGAGGTGAGTGGAATGCCTGAGCCCGTGGGTTTGAGACCTGCCTGGGCAGGCAAGACCTCATCTCTACAATAAATCAAAAAATCAGCCAGGTGTGGTAGCGCGCAGCTGTAGTTCCAGCTACTCGGAAGGCTGAGGCGGAAGGATCGCCGGAGCCCAGCAGGCGAGGCTGCGGTGGCCAGGAGTGGCCACTGCACTCCAGTCTGGGTGACTGAGTGAGACTCCATCTCAAAAAAAAAAAAAATTGTTTACATAGAACTCCTATGAAGAACATCTTAAAGTTCCCAATTATTGTTTCAATTAGTAAAGCATTTGTAACCTCTGTCCCTGAAAAATGGAAAGCACATGTGAAGAAGACCAAGAGCTTTCCACAATGAATGAGCAACCCAATAGGTAAGATGGAAAGTGTAATGAAACAACAAATACAAAGTAAAAAAGAAGGGTCATAAAACAGATGGGTAACTTTGAAAATTCAGGACAATGAGAGCCAGCTGAGACCAGCTGTGTGTGTTGGGGGGGGAGGGGAAACAGGATCCGGGCATGCTTCAAAGAGAAGAGACAAGGGACACAGTTCTTGAAAGAAAAACAAAATTAGATAAGCAGAGCCTGTAGGATCAATTATTTGTTGGCTCCCAACTGTGATTCATTCACGTTACATTTAGGGAATGTGTTTATCTGGTTTGCTTACTACATAGTCTAGTGAAAAGAATACCAGGTGGAGGCCTGGATTTGGCTGGAATCCAAGTAGCTTTAAGACTTTAATTTATTTGACCTTTTAATCACTAGCAACATTTTTAAAATATCTTTTACCTATCCGCAACTCTCCTAATGTTCTTGCTTTTTTTGGTTAGAGGCTTTGAAGTAATAACAAAATGAAGTTAAATGTCACACAAAGTCAAAGATATAGTGAAAATAATCAAGAGTTATATCATAATCTAAATGTAAGAATTCTGGTAATGCCAAAAAAAAAAAAAAGAAAAGAAAAAAAGAAAAGAGAAAAAAGTAACATCAACATTCAATATAACAACTATATCTTACTGCTTAAAAGAATACTAGTGTTGAATAGTATTTTTAAATCACAGTAACTGTCTCCTTACTCTTTCCAACAGGAACGTTTGAGCCAGTTTTCCTATCCAACAGATTTTCCCATAAGCTCTTTGTCCCCATTGGCCTAGCTTGACAGTTGGTATCTCCTGTTTGAAGACTGCTACCCTTAACAGTCAACAATAGCAAATTTCACACAAGGGTAAGTGAAGAGCTTATACTGGAAGGCTATTTGAGACAAAAAACTTCCCCAGGTCAGGGTAAAAAGTCATTAATCAGTCTTAAAAATAACAAGCCAGCCAGATGCGGTGGCTCATAGCTGTAATCCCAGCACATTGGGAGGCAGAGGCGAGAGGACTGACTGAGCCCAGGGGTTAAAGACCAGCCTAGGCAACTTGACAAGACCTCGGCTCAACAATAAAAAATAAAAAAATTAGCTAGGTATAATGGTGCACACCTGTAGTTCCAGCTACTTGGAAGACTGAGGCAGAAGGATCACCTGAGCCCAGGAGGTCGAGGCTGTAATGGCCATGAGCATGCCACTGCACTCCAGCCTGGGTGACAGAATGAAACTGCAACTCAAAAACAAAAACAAAACAACAACATAATAAGCTATTGCTTATGTACATTATCACTTTTTAAAAATTATCTCAATTACTTCATTATGAGAAATTGGAATAATTTTGCATGATTCAATAATCTGCCTTTGAAAATATCAGAACTTCATTTTAAGACAGGATTCAATTAGCACCCTACTATTACTACTGATTGGTCTTTGGGAACATTTTGATTTACAAGGCAACTCACGTGCCCATTGTAATCATTACTCTGTCAATATTAGTATCCTTGACATAAATAGAAGAAGAAAATAAAAGAGAAGCTCTGCAAGACAAGAGAATTCTAGTCAAATACTTCTTCTTAGTTTTGTTTTTTTTTTAAAGGTGGTCAAGTATTCAAACTGTGTTCAAATAA